CTCGGCTGTTATTCCTGCCTTGGCCTCCTAAAGTACTGAGATTATAGGCATAAGCCACTGTGCCTGGCCAGTGCTAGCAGTTTTAAAAGGCTCAATTTAAATTTTATTTATTCTCTTCTCTGATGACCCTATCCTGTCCTTTCCTGTCTACTGCATCCATTATATATTTTCTTTGTATAGTCTTATATACTAGTCTCTAATTTTCCTTGTGCACACATGTTTATTTTATGTACATGTCTTTTACTAACTCTCTAAATGAATGGTAGGAACTGATTGCAGGAACTCTATCTTATGCTGGCTTTGTAAACTTTTTAGTACTTCGTATTAGTTGATATGTAATTAACAGACATTTCTCAAACAGTATTAATATGGAAACTACTGTGGATGATAGTTTCGGCATAATCCAGATGCCCTTCAAGGAGTTAAATGATTTTTTAAAAAGATGTTAACTCATGATACCAAATAGTATATGCTAGAGGATGTCTTGCCCTTTTTCTTGGCCCTTCTATGCTTATTTTTGTCAATCAACTTACCACCTGTGTTCTCTGAGTAACATAGGCAGGAGTTTCCAGACCAAGTCCTCCACCACTTTAACTTGGCCTTCAGCACTCTTTCTTTTCTCCTGGGGATTTCCTTTCTTGGCTGCCTCTGTCGTCCAGCCACTCCTCTGAAGCGGCAATTCTGGTTTTCTTAAAGGCTGGCAGCTGGGAGGTCTGTGGTTTTGGTTTGTGTTTCCAGGAAACTCTGGCCTAGTTCCACCTGCGCAATCCCACTCAAAGAGTTTCCACATCCTTAATTAAGAAAAAGGGGCCACGTTTGGTGGCTCATGCCTGTAATTCCAGCACTTTGGGAGGCCAAGGCGGGAGGATCGCTTGAGCTCAGAAGTTCAAGATGAGCTTGGGTAACATAGTGAGACCTCACCTCTACTAAAGAAAAAAAAATTAGCCAAGTATGGTAGTGTGCCTGTAGTCCCAGCTACTTGGGAGGCTAAAGTGGAAGGATTGCTTGAGCCCGGGAGATCGAGGCTGCAGTGAGTCATGTTCATGCCAGTGCACTCCAGCCTGGGTGAGAGAGTGAGACCCAGTCTCAAAATGAAAAGAAAAGAAAAGAAAAGAAAAGAGGAAGCTCAGTGTCTTTCTCTGGGAAGAGCAAAGACTCCTGTCTACAAACCGGTTTTGACACTGACCATTTGGTACCCATTCATTCATCACTCAGGAATCTGTTTTCATTGTTCTCTTCTAATGCATCTGGCAGCAAGCACAATAGGCCTTTTCATTCTCCAGAATTTTACTGTAGGCCTTTGATGTGAATAATATTAAGATAGATTTTTTGGGAGGGGGTGCAGGGGTAGTTCAAAACTTGAAAGAAGCTGCAAGCACTTGCAGTAGAGTTGGGACAGAAAGGTATTCACAGGCATGATAGCAAACAACAAATTCAGATGCTGGGGACTCTGAGAACCTAGAGAAGGGAGTAATGGGGCTACTCAGAGAAGTCTTCGGGAAAACCTGCGAATTGAGGGGCTATATCTGAATTCAGGAGAGGATAATGTTAGCATCATCTTAGAGCCGCTGCTGAGTGCTGTATTTCAGGGGCAGTTAGATGCCTTCCTGACTAAGACAGAGGGGCATGTATGGAGGAGGCCAGTGGACAAATGAGGCTTTGGTGGAAGCTGTTTTTTGGGCTTTCTAAGGTCTCAATTTGTGCTCAAACAGCAGTTACAAAGCATAGAATTAAACATTTCTAACTTAGATTCATAATCTATAAAAGTTTTGATGATTTTATACATCCATTTAAAAAGTGCAAGGCAAAATGGCTTGTTAGGGTGCCAAGTTGAAATCAGCCCCAGGCCTGGGTCCCACTGGGTCTTTCTGGGACTGCTGTCTGCTCAACGAGGCCATCATAAGTGGCAGCAAATGGAAGAGAGAAATTCTGCTTCTCTAGTGTCCAGGGCTGGGTAGGGAGGTATCTTTAGAAACCCCTTATCCTTAGTTCTAGGTCCTTGAGGAATCGCCACACAGTCTTCCACAATGGTTGAACTAGTTTACAGTCCCACCAACAGTGTAAAAGTGTTCCTATTTCTCCACATCCTCTCCAGCACCTATTGTTTCCTGACTTTTTAATGATCGCCATTCTAACTGGTGTGAGGTGGTATCTCATTGTGGTTTTGATTTGCATTTCTCTGATGGCCAGTGATGATGAGCATTTTTTCATGTGTCTGTTGGCTGCATAAATGTCTTCTTTTGAGAAGTGTCTGTGGGTATATACCCAAAGGATTATAAATCATGCTGCTATAAAGACACATGCACACGTATGTTTATTGCAGCACTATTCACAATAGCAAAGACTTGGAACCAACCCAAATGTTTATCAATGATAGACTGGATTAAGAAAATGTGGCACATATACACCATGGAATACTATGCAGCCATAAAAAAGGATGAGTTCATGACCTTTGTAAGAACATGGATGAAGCTGGAAACCATCATTCTGAGCAAACTATCGCAAGGAAAGAAAACCAAACACCACATGTTCTCACTCATAGGTGGGAATTGAACAATGAGAACACTTGGACACAGGGTGGGGAACATCACACACCAGGACCTGTCATGGGGTGGGGTGAGCGGGGAGGGATAGCATTAGGAGATATACCTAATGTAAATGATGAGTTAATGGTGCAGTACACCAACATGGCACATGTATACATATGTAACAAACCTGCAAGTTGTGCACATGTACCCTAGAACTTAAAGTGTGTGTGTATATATATATAGACCCTTATCCCATACGGAACCACACTTCCTTCTGCAAACTGGGGCTGGGAAGGGTTGGTTTGCCTTGGCTGGGATGGGGTGGATGAGTTCAAAACTCCCCAGGGCACATTCAGAGGCCAGCTAACCAACCTCTTAGGGTCTATGGTCTGAATCAGACAACCCATTGTATGCATTTGGGGGTGGAAACTAGGGAACCAGCCTCCTTAGGGAACACTTTGGAGTGTTTTTTTTTTTTTTTTTTTTTTTTTTTGAGACGGAGTCTCGCTCTGCCACCCAGGCTGGAGTGCAGTGGCCGGATCTCAGCTCACTGCAAGCTCCGCCTCCCGGGTTCACGCCATTCTCCTGCCTCAGCCTCCCGAGTAGCTGGGACTACAGGCGCCCGCCACCTCGCCCGGCTAATTTTTTGTATTTTTTAGTAGAGACAGGGTTTCACCGTGTCAGCCAGGATGGTCTCGATCTCCTGACCTCATGATCCGCCCGTCTCGGCCTCCCAAAGTGCTGGGATTACAGGCTTGAGCCACCGCGCCCGGCCTGGAGTGTTATTTAATGTACTGATTTGTTGGTTTGGGGACTTGGCTTGATTTTTAAAATGTGCTGCATCTGAGGCTGCTGGTTGGGGGACTTAGCCTGGTCCCTTCAACCTTGGAGAGCACAGTAGAATAAAATATAAATAAGTTGCTAATTTAAAAATTTGGCCAGGCATGGTGGCTCATGCTTAGCACTTTGGGAGGCCAAGACGGGCAGATTGCTTGAGGTCAAGAGTTTGAGACCGGTCTGGGCAACATGGCGAGACCCTTGACTTTACTAAAACTACAAAAAATAGCTGGATATGGTGGCACATCCTGTAGTCCCCCCTATTCAGGAGGCTGAGGCGGGAGGATTACTTGAGCCCAGGAAGCGAGGGTTGCAGTGAGCCAAGATCGTGCCACTGCACTCCAGCCTGGGCAACAGAGTGAGACTCTGTATTTAAAACAAAAACAAAAACAAAAACAAAACAAAACAAAACAAAACAAAAAAATATATATATATATTTATACACACATATATAGTCCTTCTCCCCTAATTGGGGCCAATGACCACGGAGAGCATGCTTCATGCTTCCCAGTGGACAGACAGCCCTATTCTCCCACTCCTGAGTCCTGGTTCCTGGCTCCTGGCTTAGAGCTGCTTGTCTTTTGCAGAGATACCCTTGACCCTCAGTAGTGCTAACTGGTGGTAGGAAGAGCTATCAGGGTGAAGTTCAGTGGCAAGTTTAAGGACAGAGAAAAATTGTATAGCACCAGGTTACATGGTCCTGTAGCGTAGGTCAGTTTCCATCCGGCAGTATAAGGAAGCACATGACAGAAGGCTGGCCTGGGTGCCCAGCTCCTTCTCCCTCTCCTTGCCTGACTTTGGGCTTGAGTAGAGGATCCACAGAGGGACCTCAGCCTAGCCAGCTCCCTCATCCATGTGCCTGTGATTCGTCTGTCACTTCCTGTTTTGTGACCCTTCAGTCTCATCAGTTAAAGAACTGTTTCACACAACATGTGTTCTTACTTCTTGCATTGTTCTTCTCGGCTTGGAGGTGTCTTGGAGGTAAAGCGTTACTGAACTAAACTTGAATCTGCTCACTGGGCACAGCAAAGCCCAACGCTGACACAAATGTTTGCAGTTACAGGAAGAAAGGCATTTATTGCAGGGCACCAAGCAAGGAAAAGGGGCATGATGGCTTATAAGCAAGGGTTTTTAAAGGCAGGAGTGAGGGGGTTTCCAAAGTAAGTTAGGGGCTGAGGAATTTCTGGAACTTCTTTATCCGTTTCCTGGTTCCAGTCTGTCGAAGGTCAACATGACTGTGATCAGCATTTGTCATCGGGTGACAGTCCTGGTTTCTGAAAAACAACTCAAGGATGTATGTAAAGATGTTATCTTTGTTTCTATAGGCAACCAAATATCTTGTGATCCTGACTTACTTGGGTGGCTTGTTTGGTGGATTATTCATTCACTTCCCTAATTTCTGGTTGCAGGGCTAGCTAGATACCTGGAATTTTCCTTGAAGGAACTGAAACATGTTCCTTCATCTCCAGGGTGAGGGTGGAGAAGCCTGACAGGCTCCTAAGGGGGTCCCTGCACCATCTCAAAGTGAGTCAGCAACGTTCTATGGCCAGCTTCTCACCTCTTTTGCCCCATCTTCTCTCCGGCCTCGGGACTGCCTTCCATTCCTGGTCTGATGCCATGTTGTCTTTCCCCCAGAGTGCAGACATCCTCAGCACCGTCGGCTACGACAGCATTATCCAGCATCTGAACAACGGCCGCAAGAACTGCAAAGAGTTTGAAGAGTTTCTAAAAGAAAGGTACGATGCCCTGTCCTCTCTGAAGAGGGTGGGCCAAGATGTCTCCACACCGACAAGGAACAATTTCCTATTTTTCATTTGCATTTAATGGTTCTGAAGACCCTCTGCTCTAGGTTATGGGATGATACCCGAGAAGTAACATGATACTTCTGTCCTAAAGTTCTTACAAACAAGTTTGACACATAAGATTTATGATGAAACTGTGAACGAATTATAATGAGAAACAAAACATACTTAATACTGTGTTACAAATAACACTGAAAGACCCCATGATGTAGCTTTTAGACTACTGAGGAGGAGACCGCTGAAGATTGGCAAAGTAGGAAAGGAGAGGAAAGGAGAAAGGAAGGAGAGAGGGAGGGAGGGAGGTAAAGAAAGAAGGAAATAAAATAGAGGACGGAGTGGCTTCATGGAGAGTAGGTCCTTCTGGTGGCCCTCAGAGGGTGAGGTGGATTTGACAGGTGAAGAAGTACCTGAATATCTGGGAGAACAGCACGCTCGAGGTGGGAATCAGATGGCCCACGTGGTTAGTGGGAGGCAGAGCGCAGCTCAGAGACCAGCAGGATGAAGAGATGTGGGAAAGCGGTGAAGCCGATCACGACGCTCCTGGGGGTGGCAGGGCATGGTGGTCCATGGGGAACTGCCATGGTTTAGAGGATTTTCTTATCTTCTTCTTTTTAAAAATGGATAAGATAAAAAAACCCACAAAACTTAGTTTTGTGGAAACTTACTCATCTAGAATATTCCATTTTACAGAGGTTCTGGATGAAAGAATATGTTAAGAGGATTTGGGGCCAAAGATCAGGATCCTTGCCAAGATTCAAATCAATGAACAAGTTCTATTTGTAAGGCAGTAAGTGAAAGGCTCAGAACCCAGAGATACAGACATCAAAGTGTTTTTGGTCAACTCTCTCACTTTCTACTCAAGAGAAAATTTGGTAACGATCAAACTTACTCACACTGGTTGCCCAGCCCTTGGGTGGTGAGGCCTGTCTCCTTGAGCCATCCCAAAGGTCTGGAGGACCTGGAGGCCTGAGGAGGGGTGAACCAAGAGAGGCTCGGCTACTGTCAGCGCTGTGGAGCTGGCCGCTGCTCCTCCCCCTTTAAGGGAGCAGTTCCCTTCTTTTCTACCCAAGATGGTTGACAGTGTTGACACCCAGTTAAAAAGTGTGTCTTTCTTTTTACAAACACTGGTGGTGGGCTTCCTCCTTCCTTCAACAGTGCTAGGACAGAGTTTCATGAGCATGAAGGATCTAGAGATTGCAGAAGACTCTGCTTTTTTCTGTTCCTCCTCCATTTATGACTTCTATAAATGTCCTCCTGGGAATGAAATGGCCTTGGAATACATCTGCAGAGAAAGGAAGTATCTGTTGGCTCAGGACCCCAGGCACTGACTGCCTGGCAAGACCATCCAAGGGTCCCCTGATACAGTGGGGTTTGTCTAAATCAGTGGCTTCCATACTTTTTTGAACGTGACCCTCAAAAAAATATATTTTACACAGCCACCCAGTACACACATGCATAAACAAAACAATGAAACAGGACTACCCTGTCAATTTATCCGGTTGTATTTAATTTTGAAATGCTAGTCTTCCAGCTATTCAGGAGGCTGAGGTCGGGGGATCACTTAGCCCAGGAGTTCAAGGTTGCAGTGAGCTCTGATTGCATCACTGCACTCTAGCCTGGGTGACAGAGTGAGATCCTGTCTTTCAAAAAAAAATTGCTGGTCATAATCCATTGAATTGATTTATGGCTCACAAATGGGTCATGACCCACAGTTGAAAAACACTAGTCCAAATAGGACCCCAAAGCTAAGTTCTCACTTTTAAAAATGATTCACAAAAATACGTAAGAGTAGGAAATATATGGAGAATAAAAATTATTATTTATATTGTATTTCTAGTATATGTTCTCTCTCCCCCCATGGGTTTTATAGCAAAAAGAAGTCAGTCTTGTGCTTTCCAATTTTGGGGAAGAATCTGCAGGCATTAGATCAGTGTGTCAGATAGGCATGCCCTGGGCGTGGAGATGCAGCCCCTGAGTGTGTGGCCTGCTTGGCTTTGGGCCTCTGTTCCTGTGGCACGCTTGCAGGAAGGAAGCTGCTGTCATTGAGCCTGTGTGTTTGTTCCTCCACTGTGTCCTGTTCAAGGGTAATTCATGTGCAGAAGGACAGTCTTCCAGGCGTGGGGGTCCAGCTTTCCTCTTGTTCAGGTGGGTGCAGGATGCTTGTGGGAACTGAGACTCAGTAGGCTGCATTTGTGCCATAATCTAATATGACTGAAACATCCTCCTTGAGTCTTAAACATTATATGACTGAGCTGTCATAAATTACATGTAGAGGCCGGGCGTGGTAGCTCACACCTGTAATCCCAGCACTTTGGGAGGCCGAGGCAGGTGGATCACCTGAGGTTGAGAGTTCGAGACCAGCCTGACCAACATGGAGAAACCCCATCTCTACTAAAAATACAAAATTAGATGGGCGTGCTGGCGCATGCCTGTAATCCCAGCTACTTGGGAGGCTGAGGCAGGAGAATTACTTGAACCCAGGAGGTGGAGGTTGCAGTGAGCTGAGATCTCGCCATTGCACTCCAGCCTGGGTGACAAGAGTGAAACTCCGTCTCAAAACAAAAACAAAAAACAAACAAACAAAAAAATTACATGTAGAACCCTGGGATATTTGTGGTTCTTAGAGACAAGAGGCAAACACACACCAATACAGGGGCAAAGATAACAGACTGTTATATGTAATAATTATTTTTGAACAACCACCTCTTGTCCAATGTCATACGTTATTTATTATTTTGAGTTCAACAAATTTAATACACATACATTTATAACACTTTTATATGGTACAGGGCTAAACATGCCCTATATCTAATGGGGTACTTTTAAGACTTTCCAAAAGTGTCAAAGTCCTACCATGGGCCTCTCGAATTTCTGGCAGTTTAGTGGCAAGGGGAAGGGGGAGATACTATACTTCCCGGTGAGCTCCCATGCCTTTCTCTTCCCTGGATGGAACCCAGCACTGCACCCCTCCGTGCCACATTTTACCTCCATTACGGGAACTAGGAAATACCCTTTTCGTTGGTTGTACCCAGACAGATTACAGTAAATTCATCTGCACTCCGTGGGGTTGGACAGAACAATCACCCCAGTGCAAGGAGCCGCTCATGTGCTGCCCTGGAGGGACAGGGAGGCTGCCTTTCTTGCCATCCATAGGGCAGATTCTTGCATCCAGGGTAGACATATAAAAATAAAGTTAGCTCAGAGGGTAGATACAGGCGATTAAATGATTATATAATAACTGCTGTTTATTGAAGGCTTGCTAGATACATAGGGCAGATTCCAAAGCCCAACTTTCCTAGGTTTGAAACCATATTACCCCGTATTAGCTGTCTGACCTTAGGCAAACGCCATAATCTCTCTGAACCTCAGTTTCTTCAATTGTAACATAAGGATGAGAACAGTTAACATACAGGGTTATTGTAACAACTGTTACAATAATTGTTAATAATTAATAATTGTTAACAATTGTTACAATAATTATTTATAACTACTACATTGTTATAATAATTGTTAATAACTACTACAATTAATTGTTACAATTAATATTGTAGCATATTAACAATTAATATTGTAATAATATTAAATCAAAATTGATATTAATTAAATTAATTAATATATAATTAAATAATACTATAAGTAACAAAACACAGTAACAAACACTCCATCAGTGAATTGTAAATTTATCTGGTTTACCCTTCTCTAAGCTGGAAAAGCACAACAATAATAGAGGTGATGCTGGCAACCACAGCCAACATCTGAATAGTTACGTAATATAACCATAACATTGAGGCTTACACATCCCTTTGGTACTTATATTGGCTGCATAAGGTTTCTTGGAACAGAAGTGTAGCTTTGTAGATGAGGTGTAAGTAATTTACCAGGGGAATCTAGAAAGTGACAGAACCCAGAATGGTGCGGAGGGGCGGTGAGGACGGGGGTCTCATACAACCCCTGTGTTTATGATTCATCAACACCGGCAAAAGGGCTGGTGGCGATCTGAGGAGATGGGCTAGTTCCCAGCACAGACACACTCTCCCTCTCTTTTCTGTTTATACAATCTCACTCATTATACCCATTCTGTCTATTTCAGCCAGATGGGTTTATTGGTGAGCATGCTTTGGATGTCTCTGCCTGTACCTCTTTACTTCAGTATTTCCCCACCTGGAAAGTCCTCCTTTTTCCTTGATGCCTAAGTAAATTCTCCCCATCCTTCCAAGTCCAGGTCAAATTTTCCTCTTCTTTCATTTCTCTCCCTTTTTTTTTTTTTTTTAAAGACAGAGTCTCGCTCTGTCATCCAGGCTAGGGTACAGTGGTGCAATCTCGGCTCACTTCAACCTCCGCCTCTCGGGTTCAGACAATTCTTGCACCTCAGCCTCCCGAGTAGCTGGGATTACAGGTGTGCACCGCCACACCCAGCTAATTTTTGTATTTTTAGTAGAGATGGGGTTTCTCCCTATTGGCCAGGCTGATCTTGAACTTTTGGTCTCAAGTGATCTGGCCTGCCTCAGCCTCCCAAAGTGCTGGGATTATAGGCGTGAGCAACCCCACCTTATTTCTCTTTAAAGGAAACATTCTACATAGGACTTTAGTCTGAATTCTTTCAGCTGGTTAACAATTAAAATGAAGCCATCCTGTCACTGGTAGCCCAAGCCCATGGACTCTCCCACCCTCAGATGCCCAGATGTGGCGAAATATTATATAATGAGCTCCTTATATGAGCAGAAAATGAGAACTATAAAAATAAGGTTAATCATACCTTAGAGGGTAGCTAGGGATGATTAAATGAGATTATATTAATAGCTTCTGTTTATTGAAAGCTTACTCTATGGAAGCTACAATGTGTTTTGTATGTATTATTTAATTCTCATAAAAACTCTGTATGGTAAGTTTTCTCATCCTTATGTTATAATTGAAGAAATTGAGGTTCAGAGAGGCTACGGAACTTGCCTTAGCTCAGACAGCTAATTAGCTGTAGATACGGTTTCAAACCTAGAAAATTTGGGTCCTGGAATCTGCTATTAACCAGTACACTGTGCCCAGTAGAGTAGCTGGTACACAATACATAGTGAGTAAATGGTACCCACTGATCTTAGACAAGTTCCATAACCTTTACTAATATTGTTATATTAAGTGTAGAAGCCAAGTAGGGAATATATCATTAGCTTCCTTTTACAGAGAAGAACACTGAAGTTTAGTGGATTTAAATGACTTGCCCAAGATTATAATATCAGTAAGTAGTAAAGCTGGGATTCCTATTGACTTCATGTCTGGTGGTTTTTCCACTTTACTTAATGGTCTCTTGAGAAAGTTGGGTGTATTCTCTGAAGGAGAACAGGAACTTGGCAGCCAAGTCAGTTCTCTTAATTGTGTGCTGCGATAGGATCCTGAGTAGGGAGGAGGGAAGCATGCTTGTGGAACGCCTTTATGTCCAGAATTCTTTACCATTTGTAGATTAGCAGCTATACCTATGCTCTTGGGGATCCACAGCCCCGGTGCCTTGGGACTCTGTACTCTTCCCCACAAGCTCCTGTACGTCCCATGGTCAACCTGCCCTGGCTACAGCTCTGTTTCCGGGACCCTCACTGTGTCGGCTATGTCTCAGGACAGCCTTAAGGAGGACAGATTGCCAGGATGGGAATGACAGATTCCTTCATGCATTAGCTGGTAAAGTTGTGAAGCCATTATGTACCATATTAGTTTTTTAGGGCTGTTGGGACAAATTGCCTCTAACTGAATGACTTTAAATAACAGAATTTATTCTCTCACAAGTCCATAGGCCAGTAGTCCCAAATCAAGATGTTGGCAGAATCTTGCTGTCTTGAAGGCTTTATTGGAGAAGGTGTCCCATTCCTTTCTCTTGGTTTTTGGTGTCATCAGTAATCCTTGGCATATCCTGGCTTGCAGCTGCATAACTCCCATCTCTTCCTCTGTCATCCTGTGGTGTTCTTCCCCTGTGTCTTCACATTGTCTTTTTTTTTTTTTTTTTAGGGGGTGTCCCTTTTTCGTTCAGGCTGGAGTGCAGTGGTGCGATCTTAGCGGACTGCAACCTCCGCTTCCCAGGTTCAAGCGATTCTCCTGCCTTCGCCTCCTGAGTAGCTGCGACCACAGATGTGCGAAACTACACCCTGCTAATTTTTGTGTTTAGTAGAGATGGGGTTTCACCATGTTGGCCAGGCTGTTCTTGAACTCCTGACCTCAGGTGATCCACCTGCCTTGGCTTCCCAAAGTGCTGGGATTATAGGTGTGAGCCACCACACCCAGCCCATTGTCTTCTTGTGAGGACACTAGTCATACTGGATTAAGAGGCCACCCTACTCCAGTATGACCTTATCTCAATGATTACGTCTGCAAGGACCCTATTTCCAAATAAGGTCATAGTCTAAGATGCTGGGGGTTGAGACTGCAACTTATTTTGTGGGAGGAACACCTGTGCCCAAAAGAATATACTGGAAGCTGAGAGCAACATGGGAAATAGAGTATTGGGATGGGAGTTTAGACACCTGGGCGGCCTTCTAATCCTGGCTTCCTCACTAGCCAGCGCTGATATTATTCAAGGCCCTAGACTTTTCTAGGTTCCAGTTTTCTTAGCCGTAAAATTTGGATTGTACGAGATGTTCTGTGAGAGCCCCTTGGATCTAATTATTCCCAAGGAACTTATTCAGTTGAGGTGCTGTGAATAGCATATACAGTAGAATTGAGAAAAATATTTAAGTGTCAGGTTTTATGGCAAAAGGATTTCATCTTATCTGTTCACTCTGATTTTGGGGCAACCTGGAGCACTAGATTGAGAATCATCCTGAGGCTGCTTTCAGACCTGATGGAAAAGGCAGTATCTGATGATGTTTGTCATGGGTTGTTTTTCCTTTCTTTCTTTCCTGTTTTCTTTTTCTTTTTTTTTTTTTTTTGAGACGGAGTTTCGCTCTTACTGCCTAAGCTAGAGTGCAATGGCATGATCTCGGCTCACTGCAACCTCTGCCTCCTGGGTTCAAGCGATTCTCCTGCTTCAGCCTCCTGAGTAGCTGGGATTACAGGTGCACACCACCACACCTAGCTAATTTTTTTGTATTTTTAGAAGAAACGGGGTTTCACCATGTTAGCCAGGGTAGTCTCGAAGTCCTGACCTCAGGTGATCTGCCCGCCTCAGCCTCCCAAAGTGCTGGGATTACAGGTGTGAGGCACGGCACCCAGCCTGTCATGGGTTGCTGAAGGGAAAATGGCACATGGATTATTCCTGGTCTGGGAATTTGGAGAGAAGCGAGGTCAAAGGGAGTTGGGGTTTTTAAGGAGAGCTTTGTGAAGTGTAGCCAGCTAAGTGCTCAGAGGTATGGTATTGCCTCTTCTGTTTCCTGTACTATTTTGTACATTTTCATCTGGCCCTTGTTACATGATAGTAAACTAAAATATTGGTTTACATCTCTCTCTTCTGCTAGATTATGAGCTCCACTAGGCAGGTCTCATATTTCAGCCATCTCTGTGTTCTTAGCACCTGGTATGATGCCTGGCACATTGTGGATGTTCAATAAATGACAAATTGATGATCAGATGAGACAGAAAAAATCAGATAGGTGGTAGGAGGGTGATCTAGATAAAGGCCTACTTATTCAAGCATGATTTCTGTGATGTTCTAGTAATTCCTTCATTGCCTGCCTGGACCCATTGCTTCCCATTTACTAGGGAAATACCCTCTCAACCTCAGTGGTTGTTCCCTGGTTTTATGAGGCTGAGATTCTAGTTTCACTTCTATTAAAGCTCCTTCTTTTCTCCAAAAAGCACACCATGATGCTTGCTGGAACTCATTACTTCCCAGGTTCTAGGAGAACATCTTGTTTCATGGGGAACAAGATGTTGCCTATGGTATGTTTAGATTCATGATGCCTTCCTCTTACAAGAAGGAGACTGAGTGAGTGGTTTCTCGTCCTGGAAACAACAAAAGATTCTAAAGAAATCTTAATGGATATGATTCTGAGGATAAAAGGATAAAATGCCTGTATATTATATATTTTAAAAAATGAAAATGGCCTGAATGTCTTTTTACCTGTAAAAATATTAAATGTCATTGTAGCATGTTAATAAATTTTTATATAGATATAGTGAACAGAGATTCAGAAAGTTAGAAATGGTTACTAGGGAGTTAAGATGCATCTTTTTCTGTAACTAGAGTCAGCTTCAGGTGTACTTTACATTGTCAGGGGCTGGAAAAACTTTAGAAGTAAAGTCGAAGAATGGAGTCCTGAGAAGAAACAGGGTTATTGCTGAAACTGTAGTACTGAGTACTGTCTAAGACCAGAAGGAGAAATCACTTGCATAGTCTCAGACAAGTAGATAGGGCTGCCCACAGTACCAGGAGCAAGATGAAGCCAAATCCCAAAACAGCCATGCAAATGCACCTCCACCAAAGGAGGAGGGAAGGAAGGAAGGAAGATATCAAGGCAAAAGCAACCAAAGAACCAGAGCCCATAACTCAAGAACAGACAAAGCCAATCCAACATCTGGATAACTGACCCAAGTAGAAAATTTACCCAAAAGAATAGTGGAAGTATTCCGAGATATAATACAGGAAAAATGTCATGAAAGGAAGGACTAAATAGATCTGAAGGGCACACTATGAACCAGGAAACTCTGATACACAGTAATCAATACTGATTATGATTACATAAGGACCAATGTTAACACACATCCTGGCTAAGTTATTGAACTAAATAAAGAATTCTTCAAGTATGCAGGAAGGAAAAAACAAGTTGTCTATACAGAAATAATCAGGGGAAATTTGGGACGGCCCCAGGCTTCTGTACAATGACAGAAGCCAGTGGAACAAGTTCAGCCAAGTTCTGAGGGAACACTTAAGAACAATCATTACACCAGTGAGGTTGTCAGTCCAATATAAAGGCCACAGGTAAATAGTCTCAAATATGAAAGAACTCAGGGAATACTGACCCCTTTCCTACCTTGAGCTATTTTGACAAAAGATTATGTAGTGATAAAATTTAGTCAAGCAAGAAATGAATCCAAATTAAAATCTTTGAGATGAATAATTATGATAACAGGACAATTATTGAGCTTCAAATTCATTTCAATAAATAGTTCAGACTAAACAACTGGGGGAAATATGATTGGAGAACAGAATATGTTATACACAAATGAAACAAAATGTAAACAATATTGAGGAGGTGGAAGTACAACAGTGCTTATTATCTAACACTTCCAGCATGCTGTCAAACATCTACAATGGTCAAAAATAGAAATAAATTGTTAAAATGTTTGAATATCTCCATCCTCTTACTTTTTTTTTCAAACAAAAGCTGCCACATGTTTATTAAGACATTACTGGCTCTTAAGCATAGCTGGCTTTATAAACCATTTTCCACATATTATCACACATTTGGGAAATTTTCTGAGATGATATATCAAGACAGGCTTCTCTTGTGACTCAACTGGACTTCAAATAGTCTGTTTAGAAGTCTGAGTAATGATGCAACCTATACATCAGGGCCTTGCCCTTTTCTTTCTTTCTTTCTTTTTTTTTTTTTTTTTGAGATGGCGTCTCACTCTGTCCCCCAGGCTAGAGTTCAGCGGCATGATCTTAGCGGACTGCAACCTCCGCTTCCCAGGTTCAAGCGATTCTCCTGCCTTCGCCTCCTGAGTAGCTGGGATTACAGGCACCTGCCACCACACCCGGCTAATTTTGTATTTTTAGTAGAGACGGGGTTTCTCCATGTTGGTCAGGCTGGTCTTGAACTCAGGTGATCCACCCGCCTTGGTCTCCCAAAGTGCTGGGATTACAGATGTGAGCCACCACGCCCGGCCGGCCTTGCCCTTTTCATTCCCCAAGGCAAAGTATCCACCTCTGAGAGAAAATTCCATGGTATAAACATGAGAAATATTCTTCTTTTTAATGAATGGGAAGTTTGAAATACTGTACAGGAAGGAAGATGAACCAATCTGACTGCTTCTTTCATTTTTTCTGAAGCAACTGCCAATATTTCTGTAGTAGGATTGAATGTCAGAGAAGTAACACCTGTAACCAAGTTCATTATAGCTTTTATTGGCTTTGGGTTTGTTTCTCGGAGACAAGAATCTTGACTGTTTATATTTACTACTCCACAATTAGAACCACAAGCAACATACTATCCATTCCTAGATGTGGCAATGCTTCATCTATATAAACTGCCTTAATCAACAAATCTGTTAAGGCACCTCCTTGAGTTCACATCCCAAACATAAACTTCTCCATCCTCCGAAGAGGCATATGCTTTCTTACTATCTGAAGAGAACGTGGATGCTGCAACCCTTCCATTAATTTTCATGCTTCCAATCAGTTCTTTGGTCTTCATTGATAGCAAATGCAAATACCTGGCAGTGCCATTTATGAGCAAGAAGGACCCATCTGGGGAGACTTCAGAGCTCCTCACCATCTTCTTTCAAACCTCTCACTGGATGCACAGGAATTAATTTTCCAGCTAGCATGTCATAGACATAAAAAACCTTGCTGTGGGTACTCGTGGCTAAAACTTCTTCCCCATTAGCACTAAGACAAGCCTTAAGGATTGGAAACCTTTCCAAATAGGTGCTTTGGATTTTAGGATTTGTTCTTCCATCAACCTGAAATAGTGATACAGGTTATCTAATCCAGCAACAATCACAATCTGTGCACACGGATGGAACTGCACAGATGAGATCTGAGCAGCAGTAGGACGTTCAGATGAGGAACGCTGGCAGTTCCTCATCTTCAGGATTCCTCTTGGCAGAGAAGTTATTGTGGTTATGAAATTCCCTGTCCTTTGCAACAAAGCATCTTCATGCTCTTCACTTTCATCATCTGAAGATGTTTTCCGCCTATTAGTCTCTGCCCAGGCAGGTACTCCTCCCACGGCATGCTGGAATTCTTAAAGTCTCTTCTTAAGGCTGTCTTTCTAAAGTTTACTTTCACTAGCATTTTTCATCATTATCTTTCCGAAACCGATTGTTCATCATGTCAACCATTTCCTCATCTTCATCTTCTTCATCCACCCAAACTGGCTTCTTTTGAGGTGCAAAATTACCTTTTGCTTCATTCTCCGCTTCTGAGTCACCCAAGTCTTCATATCCTTGAGCCCGCGGGCCCCGCAGAGGCCGCAGCCGCCCGATCTCGTCTCGTGGTCTTCGATGTCGCCGGAGACCAGCGCCTCCAGGCACCGCTCCACGCCCAGTTTGCCCTCCTCCAGCGTGAGGCGGTGCCGCTGGCGGAGCCGGAGCCATCTCTCCTCTTCTGCGGCGGTTACCGCTGGGATGAAGGGGCAGCCTTTTCGGGCGGCGCGCCCGGCCCCGCTCCGGCTTTCCAGTCCGCCCTCGCTCTGGGCTAACGCTTCGGCTTCGCTTCGGTTCTCCCGTCCAGTTTCATTTGGCTCCTCAGTTCCCGCGGCATCGTTAGGTTTGAGGAGAGACGCAAGTGCTCACGTGGAACCTCGCTGCGCCTGGGCGCCTCTTTTCTTTTTAAGGCAGTGTCTCGCTGCGTGGCCCAGGCTGGAGTGCAATGGCGCAATCTCGGCTCACTGCAACCTCCGCCTCCCGGGTTCAAGCGATTCTCCTGCCACAGCCTCCCAAGTAGCTGGGATTACAGGCATGGGCCACCATGCCTCGCTAATGTTTTGTATTTTTGGTAGAGGCGGGGTTTCACCATGTTGGCCAGGCTGGTCTCGAACTCCTGATCTCAGGTGATCCACCCGCCTTGGCCTCCCAAAGTATTGGGATTACAGGTGTGAGCCATTGCACCCGGTCATATGGTCTTATTCTTTAAGAATTATTTGTTGCATGCATCTGTTCATCCTTCCTATTTGTATACCTGCAGAAAGAAATCACCGTTACAATCATCATCAAATATTATTACTAATTAGTTTTAGTAATAGAATGATCTCAATTATGTAAATATGAAAGTTACATATATGTGTATATGTGAGATACGGGCATGTAAATGCAGAGAAAAGGGACTAGAAAGCTAACTACCAACCTTGGCAGTGGCTGCCCCTGGGGAGAGCAGTGGAGCTGGAAGAGAGTGGGAAGGTGCTGGCGTGTTTTAGACTGTCTACCTTTGTGATGTTGCAGTCTTTTACCGTGAGGATATATTCGTTTATTGCTTACATATTTTTTTTAAATCTGAAGAAAAAAGTAGGGTAGATGAGCCTAAATCACTCTGTCCTAACCGTATGGTTTAGATAAGGCTGGGCTGGGACAAGAAATGGAGATGGTGACAAAAAGCAGCCGGGAGAGGGGAAGAGGAAGGAGGATGTTTAGTACTGGGACTGACCCTGCAATGCCGAGTAACAATCAGTGTTTTTATAGGGTACGCTGACTACAGAGTTTCTTTCCTGAAATTCCCCTTCCTTTGGTACAGTTTAGTTACGTATTTGAATTGCTTGTGAATGAAGGGCTCTATAGCATGGTAAAGGGCACTCTTAGAAAAGATGGAGGAGGGTTGAGCATTTCTTATTCCACTTAAACAAATGTTCAGTTTTACTGTAATGTTCACATAATGTTCATGTTAGGGACTTCTAACTGGAGAAGACCACCAGAGAGATGAGGGCCATTGATCTTTTGACAGTTGTTCCCCATCATATAGAGGGAGTCTTGCATTTTAGAGAATGGTGTTGTATCTGAGCTTCTGTGGTCACAAGTCAGTTTTGCTTTCCAGGGGAGGGTCATTGTGTCTTAACAAAGAGTCAACTCTGAGAAGGACCCATAACCTTCTCTTCTGTTCCCCTAGGGCAGCAGTTGAAGAGAGATATGGCAAAGATCTGCTCAGCCTCTCTAGGAAGAAGCCGTGTGGACAGTCTGAAACCAAGTATGTGCCAAGTTTTTTTCTGGTTTCCAGGTTGGTTAATAATGCCCGGGAGCCCCTTCGCTTCAGCAGACAGAGTTACCAGGAGGTTGAAAAAAAAATTTTGTTTTTTTGGAGATGGGGTCTCACTATTTTGTCCAGGCTGGACTCAAACTCAAGATCCTCAGTCAGGCACAGTTGCTTATGCCTGTAGCCCCAGCACTTTGGGAGGCCGAGGCGGGTGGATCGCTTGGGCCCAGGAATTCACGAACAGCCTAGGCAACTTTGCAAAACCCCATCCCTACTAAAAATAGAAAAATTAGCCGGGCGTGGTGGCCCATGCCTGTCATCCTAGCTACTTGGGAGACTGAGGTGGGAGGATGGTTTGAGCTCAGAAGGTAGAGGTTGCAGTGAGCTGAGATCGCGCCACTGCATTACAGCCTGGGTGTCAGAGCAAGACTCTGTCTCAAAAGATTTTTAAAAAAACGATCCTTACCCGCCAGCTGTCCAAGTCCTTGGGACTACAGGCACGTGTCTCTGTACTTGGCCTAAAAAAATTGCAATTTTTTTTTTCTTATGTTCAATTGTGAAAATCAAGACAAGCAGAAAAATGGCTAAAGTGGACTATGAAGCCACAACCTGTTATTAATACCGTCTAAATTTTTCTTGAAGTCTTTTTATATGTATACTTTTTCAATGATAGAGTTATATTATATATATTTATACTAGAAATTTAATAGAAGGGCTTCTTGTGTGTGTGTGTGTATGTGTGTGTACTGTATGTGTGTGTGTTTTAGAAGCAAAAGAAGAAAAGAGGAAGGGCAATGTCCTATTTGTCCCCATTAGGACCTCTGAGGGGACACAGACTTCTGGGCGTCTGTGCAAGTGTTGATAGCAGAGGTGCCCAGAGGGCTGTGTTGATATTATTTTATAATGTCTATCCTAAGTAAAATACCTGTAAAATTATATATAAAATATAAAATTGCACATGTATTTTTTGGTTTGTGATAACTATAGGAGATTTTGCACCATTTTAAAAAAACTTTTTTTTTTTTTTTGAGGTGGAGTTTTGCTCTTGTTGCCTAGGCTGGAGTGCAGTGGTGCGATCTTGGCTCACCACAACTTCCGCCTCCTGGGTTCAAGCAATTCTCCTGCCTCAGACTCCCGAGTAGTTGGGATTATAGGCATGCGCCTCCATGCCTGACTAGTTTTGTGTTTTTAGTAGAGATGGGGTTTCTCCATGTTGATCAGGCTGGTCTCGAACTCCCAACCTCAGGTGATCCGCCTGCCTTGGCCTCCCAAAGTGCTGGGATTGCAGGCATGAGCCACCGCGCCTGGCAAAAAAACTTTTAAGTTTAGGGGCACATGTGCAGGTTTGTTACATAGGTAAACATGTGTTATGGGGGTTTGTTGTACATATTATTTCATCTCCCAGGTATTAAGCCCAGTACGCATTAGTTATTTTTCCTGATCCTCTTCCTCTTCCCACCCTCCACCGTCGGATAGGCACCAGTGTGTGTCGTTCCCTTCCACGTGTCCATGTGGTCTCATCATTTAGCTCCCACTTATAAGTGAGAACATGTGGTATTTGGTTTTCTGTTCTATTTTAGTTTGCTGAGGATAATGGTCTCCAGCTCCATCCATGTCCCTGCAAAGGACGTGATCTCATTCTTTTTTATGGCTTCCTAGTATTCCGTGGTGTATATGTACCACATTTTCTTTATTCAGTCTATCATTGGTGGGCATTTAGGTCAATTTCATGTCTTCCTTGCATCATTTTATAGTTGTCACCACCCATGTGAGATTTCTGTACCATAATTTTTATTTTTCAGTCATTCATTTAATACTTTGAGGATACAGAAATGACCAGGACACGGTGCCTACGTTAGGAATACACTCCCTCTTATACAAGGCTGGTTTCCTTGGTATCCTATGGCAACTCACACTTAGAAGGGTTTCATAATTGGTTTAATGCCCTGCTATCACCATTCTGAAATTTTTAATAATTTATAAACAAGGGGTCTCACGTTTTCATTTTGCAGTAGGACTCACAAATTATGTAGCCAGTCCGACTCATTTGAAAAGTTCTAGATTCCTTCCCCAATATGTTGAGGGAGGATTTGGAGAAGGAAGTCAGGCTTTCTCTCTGCAGACCTAACCACATAACATACTTTCCTGTATCCTGTTCTGGCTGTGCTATCAACACAGATGCCCAGAGATCTGTGTCCCCTCAGAGGCCCTAATAGGGACAAATAGGACATTGCCCTTGCTCTTGTCTTCTCTTGCTTCTAAAACAAACACACATACAACACAGACACACAGACACACACACACACACACACACACACAGACTCATCCTAGACCACAAAGAAAGATATTGAACTACTGAGGTGGAAAACATTGGGAGATATTGAAAATATTAATAGTTACATAAACCTAAAAATCTTGATACCCTCAGACATAGGAAATTAGCACAAGGAAGGTTTATTTTTTCATTGGTTAATTATATATTTTTGATGTTTTAAATGAAAATTTAAGAATCAGCCAGGCGCGGTGGCTTACACCTGTAATCCCAGCACTTTGGGAGGTCGAGGCGGGTGGAATGTGAGGTCGGGAGATCAAGACCATCCTGGTTAACATGGTGAAACCCCGTCTCTACTAAAAAATACAAAACAAAATTAGCCGGGGTGGTGGTGGGTGCCTGTAGTCCCAGCTACTCAGGAGGCTGAGGCAGGAGAATGGCGTGAGTCCCGGAGGCGGAGCTTGCAGTGAGCCGAGATCACGCCACTGCACTCCAGCCTGGGCGACAGAGCAAGACTCCATCTCAAAAGAAAAAAAAAAGAGAGAGAGAGAGAGAGAAAAGAAAATTTAAAAATCACAGAAAAGTAAAAAAATGAGCATAGTAAGTAGCTATATAGCTATATACCTATCACCTAGATTTTGCAGTTACTCATATTTGTCACCAAGATTTTACAATTATTAACAATGCAAATGCTTTAAATTTAAATCTGGAATCAGCTCTTTCTCCAAGAATACTTGGTTTCATTCCTTTTAGTGATTAATTATATTTAGAGACCAAATTTTCAGTTCTTTTTTTTTTTTTTTTGAGTCAGAGTCTCGCTCTGTCACCCAGGCTGGAGTGCAATGGCACTGTCTTGGCTCACTGCAACCTCCACCTCCCAGGTTTAAGCAATTCTGCTGCCCCAGTCTCCCGAATAGCTGGGATTACAAGCACCCGCCACCATGCCCAGCTAATTTTTTGTATTTTTAGTAGAGGCAGGATTTTACCATGTTGGTCAGGTTGGTCTCGAACTCCTGGCCTCAAGTGATCTGCCTGCCTTGGCCTCCCAAAGTGCTGTGATTACAGGCATGAGCCACCGTGCCTGGCCCAGATTTTCAGTTTTAATGTTGATCATTGTCACAGAGGCATCATTGTATGTAGGCCCTGGCAGGGAACGGATTTTAAAAGTATGAGTTCATACTGATATTTCCAATTCTAATTTAACTTTATAGGGCTTTACGTAATGTTTAAAATTTTATGTTTGTATTTCTTTCATCTTATATTGAAGACCTGACAATATTAGTATAATTATTTGCTTTATTTTGTTATATGTATAAAATTATTTTAAGATAATACAATATTGCTACTAACAATAAAACTCCTGAATAAAGCTTAACATTTCTTTGCAGTTCCTTTTGATCTTAGACCATGTAGGTCACTTAAACATTTACTTTCTCTGTGTGATTATGTAACCAATTTTACTTATAGTTAAGTTTATTTGTTTCAGTTTATTTTAAATTATAGGGATTGTTTTCTTTTTCCTGTTTGATTTAGTTTTATTTTTTGAATATGTAAAACATTTGCATGTCCAAGGGTCCAAACTACATCAACTTAGACAAGTTTCACTGTAATTAAAGAATGGTTTAGAACATTTCATGGAAGATAAGTGGGTCAGTTGACCAAAAAAACTTTTTTGTTTCTAATGAAAGCATAAGCTGTTGGCAATATACCCAGAAACTTTTGAGGTGATGTGATGGAAAATGGGCATATTCTCTCTACTACTTCCTGCAGAAGATACTTAGCGGAATGAATCTGACCCGAAATGATATTTCTTATATCCTTACATATTTGACATTTGCCTTGTTATTTGGTAAATTCAGAGAGACTGTAACACAGTTCTTTTCTGTTGCTTGATAAAAGCCAGTCAGTTTTCCTTCTAAGAGTATACCTCAGAGAGGAAGTAGTAATAAGATAGGAGAACTGGGATCGTTTCCAAGGCTGAAGTGAAATGCTGTTTAGGTGACTTGTTTTTGTCACCCCATGACATGATCTTTAGGAAGATGTTCTAGATGACAGCAGATGATTTTTTTTTTTTTTTTTTGAGCTGGAGTCTCACTCTGTCACCCAGGCTGGAGTGCAGTGGCATGATCTCAGCTCACTGCAACCTCTGCCTCTGGGGTTCAAGCAATTCTCTGCCTCAGCCTCTGAGTAGCTGGGATTACATACAAGAGCCAGACACCATGCCAGGCCTTTTTTTTTTTTCTGTTTTTTGTATTTTTAGTAGAGACGGGCTTTCACCATCTTAGCCAGGCTGATCTTGAACTCCTGACCTCGTGATCCACCCGCCTCGGCCTCCCAAAGTGCTGGGATTACAGGTGTGAGTCATCACGCCCAGCTGGATGATTTTGCTTATCCAGGGACTAGCTAGGATCTTCCACCTCATTGGCTACCCTGAGAGACTCAAGCCTGTGACGGGACCTGTTAGGGCTTAAGGCCAACGTCCTTTTTAAAAGAGTTGTAGAATAGTTTCCTTTTCCACAGTCAGGGAGAACACTGTGGAGAAGAGAGGGTGAATGTTGCTAGGCCACCATTCCCATGGTTCAGATTCCATTCCTGGAATGTCATTTTGTCCTGAACATGAGGAATGACAATGAAGTGATGATGGGAGACAACAAAGCGATGACAAAGGAAATGAAAATGGGGCTGCTCTTTAGGGGCCCTTCAGTCAGTCACTGTGGTGGGAGAAAAGTTTTAAACTTGGGACAGACAATTTTGCTGGAAGGCTGGCCTTTCAACCCTATGACTCACTATAGGGAAATAATTCCAGTTGTATCTCCTATAATATCCATCTTTTTTTTTCCATACTTTGAAGACAAATGAGCATCACTGAAGAGTGGGTTTATTAGTTCCAGTTGACCATTGGTGCATTTGTTTGGCTATGGACACTTTTATTTTTATTTTTGTTTTTGAACTGGAATCTCACTCTGTTGCCTAGGCTGGAGTGCAGTGGTATAATCTTGGCTCACGGCAACCTTTGCTTCCAGGGTTCAAATGATTCTTGTGCTTCAGCTTCCCAAGTAGCTGGGATTACAGGCATGTGCCACCACACCTGGGTAATTTTTGTATTTTTAGTGGAGAAGGGGTTAAACCATGTTGGCCTGGCTGGTCTCGAACTCCTGACCTCAAGTGATCCTCCCACCTTGGCCTTCCAGCGTGCTGGGATTACAGGGGTGAGCCACTGCACCCGGCCTCAATATGGACACTATTATAATGCATTGTACACCTTGAAAAATTGTATCATAAGATGGGTAAAGTGAATGGAGAATGTGCACTTAGACTGTCCTGCTTAGTGTATTTGTAATAGCTGGTGCAAGCGTTCATGTGAGAAAAGGCAGAGAGAAAGAAGGACTTTTGTTTTGAGATAGAAGGGGGAAAGTGAGGTAGTTGAAAGAAGGGGCCAGTGGGAAAATGCAGGGCCTTTAATTTCTAAAATAATAGAATTTGCCATATATATATACACACACACACACACACACACACACACATCTAAAATGATGCATGATCTTATGCTGCTGTGGTAGGGGACTATGAGTTAACAAAATCCCAACCCTGTTTGGGTGGGTTGAGCGAGCACAGTCCACAGTTCCATGAGATCAGCCTCCGTGAGAGTAGCAGTGAGCAAGAAAATTATCCGGGCCAAGGCACCTCCAAGGGGGTTCACTTAAGGAAGTGTAGGTTGGGGGAGAACTGCAATAATGGGCAAAAGGAAGTTGATTATAAGGGAGAGGATGGGGGAGATTGAGAGAAGGTATGAAAAATGAATCACGGTCTTCCATATCCACAACATGGTAGACTAGATATTGGGAAAGCCCTCCCATCATAGAACACTTAAAATGCTAGTTTAAAATATATTTTAATGACTTAAGATAAATATATGACTATGCTGTCAAGAAAGTAAGGAAAATCCTTCCAGGCCAAAGATGAATCAGAGATGTCTTTCAGTGCTCACTTAGCTCTCTGGATTCAAGCTTTTCTTCATCTCCTAAATCCCAGAGAAAGCCTAGAAACCAGAAGAGAAATAATGTCTTAATGAAAGGCTAAACTAGAGAAAAAAATCTCAATAAAAGATATCAAGTCATGCCTGTAATCCCAGCACTTTGGGAGGCCGAGGAGGGCAGATCACTTGAGGTCAGAAGTTTGATACCAGCCTGGTCAACATGGTAAAACCCTGTCTCTCCTAAAAATACAAAAATTAGCTGGGTGTTCTGGTGGGCATCTGTAATCCCAGCTACCTAGGAGACTGAGGCAGGAGAATTGCTCGAACCCAGGAGGCAGAGGCTGGGTGCCTGTGTGACCGAGTGAGACTCTGTTGCAGAAAAAAAAAAAGATAACAAGGAAAGATACCTCTCTAAGCCTTGATTATGAATGATGGAAGAGGTTGTATCTCCTGAGAATCTGTAATTACAAGCCAGTTATCTTGCAGATTTGGAGCTCCAAATTACCAAATTTCATCAGAGTGGTCTGAAGAATCCTAAGCTAAAAATTTAGTTTAGAGTGGTCCTGGGTGTCAACAGAAGCAATAAATAGCAGAATTAGACATGCAAAGATTGTAGATACTAGAACTAACAGATCTAAAAAACAAGTATATATAGTATGTTTAAAGAAAATAAAAGAGTGAATTAAGAGCATGAGTAGGGTGACTTTCAGAGGCATCCAAGAAATTTTGAAAGGGATTCAGATAGAACTTATATAAATAAAATAGAAAATACTTAAAATAAAAATTCAGTATATGAGATGCATTAAGTAACACATTAACTATAATTGAAGAGGGAATTCAAAAATTAGAAATGAAAAAATCAGGAGAGACTGGGGACAAGGTTTGGGGAAATGTTGATCAAAGGATACAAAATTTCAATTAGGAGGAATAAGTTCAGGAGATCTATTGTACAACACAATGACTATAATAATAACAATGTATTATATTCTTGAAAACCACTAAGAGAGTAGATTTTAAGTGTTCTCACCACAAAAAGTGTAAGTACATGAGGTAATACATATGTAACTTAGATCTATTGAACCATTCTACAATGTACATATTTCAAAACATCATTTTGTACATGATAAACACATACAATTTTTATTTGTCAAGTAGGTAAATACATTTCAAAAAAGAAAAGAAATTATCTGGAATTAATCACAGAAAAAAATCAGAGGTTAAAAGTAAAGAAAAATTGGGCCGGGTGCGGTGGCTCAAGCCTGTAATCCCTGCACTTTGGGAGGCCGAGACGGGCGGATCACGAGGTCAGGAGATCCATCCTGGCTCAACATGGCCTTGAAACCCGCGCTTCTCCACAGAAGTACAAAAAAACAGCCGGGCGCGGTGGCGGCCGCCTGTAGTTCCGGCTACCGGGAGGCCTGAGGCAGAGAATGGCGTAAGGAGGCGGAGCTTGCAGTGAGCTGAGATCCGGCCACTGCACTCCAGCCTGGGCGACAGAGCGAGACTCCGTCTCAAAAAAAAAAAAAAAAAAGTAAAGAAAAATTAAGAGACGTGGAGAATAGGATGAGAAGTTCAATGCAAACCTAACTAGAGTTCCAGAAGAGAGAACAGAAACAATGAGAAAAAACTTCTAAAGCAACAGAGCTTAACAATTTTCTATAATTGATAGGAGCCATGAATCTTCAGATTCAGGAAGCAAAATAAATCCCAAGAATGATAAATTAAAAGGAAATTCACAAGTACACAAGAACAGTCAAACTGAGTAAGATCCAAGTTAATGAAAAAGTCCTAAAGGCATTCAGAAAGAATGATTACCTACTAAGGAACATTTATTAGAGCAACAGCTGATTTTTCAACAGCAATGATGAAGCGAGAGACTGCAGAATTATGTCTTTAAAGTACTGAGAGGAAATAACTATCAATCTGGAAAAATTATTTTTCTTGGATAAATTATTTTTCAAGAAAGAAGGAAAAATAAAGATGTTATCCAACAAAAAATTAGAGTTAACTATGAGCAGATCTTCAATAAAGGAATTTCTAAAAAATATACTTCAGGAAGAAGGAAAAGAATCTGGGACAAAAGGTCTGGAGTGCAAGAAGGAATAGTGAGCAAAGAATATGGCACATATGGATAAATCTAAACAGTTTATAAATAAATGGTATTAATGTCAACTTGGGTGATTTAAAAAACAAGATGGAGCCAAAATATTGGACATTAAAAGCTTATAACTTGTTAGGAAGGATAATCAGAGTTAAAACATTCTTAGGTATTTTATTGCTGAGGGTAAGTAAAATATTAACCTTGAGTAAGCAGATTCTTCCCCTGTCAAGCCACCAGATGAGAATGCAACCTGGCCAATACCTTGATTGCTGCCTGTGATACTCTAAGCACAGGATCCAGCTAAACCATATTCAGACTGGCAATCCACAGAACTGTGAGATAATAAATATGTGTTGTTTTATGCTGCTAAGTTTGTCATGCAGCAATAAAAAAATGGATACAATTTGTTGAATGTCTGTCTCCTCCATTAGACTCTGAGGTCTGGGATGAGGTCTGTCTTGTACAATTGATTTACTAACATCTGACACAATGCCTGGCCCCTGGTTTATGGTCAATAAATATATGATGATTGATTAAATGAATGTAAATTAATGAAAAAGGAGGCAATCAGGACTAGGTTTGAACCCTTCCTTTGTTGCCTTGTATTCATATTTTGAATTGCTGTACTATTTATTTATTTATTTATTTATTTTGAGATGGAGTCTTGCTGTGTTGCCCAGGCTGGAGTGCAGTGGTGCGGTCTTGGCTCACTGCAACCTCCACCTCACGGGTTCAAGTGATTTTCCTGCCTCAGCCTCCTTGTCATACTTTAAAGAATCACTGGTATTCTTATGAGAAAGGGTCATAACTCCTATACTATCATCGGAGACAATGAAACACAAAGAGTTTTGGCATATTGCTCTCCCCAAGTGAACAGTTGAAGAATTTCTTGTGCCTGGGATTGAGGAAACTGGACTGAAGAAGTCTCGGTCTTTTGCTGTCTCTCTAGCTCATGGGCAAAAATTGGTCTGTAGGTCCTAAGTTAAGATATAGGCAGAGAGAAGCATGCAAAGGCATTATAATAAGATTGTGCAGAGAATTTCCAGAACTGAAATTATATATGTACTTGTCTTTTTAGCACCCTGAAGCGGGCCCTTGAAGTCTTCAAACAGCGTAAGTGATTTTTAAAAAAATATATATTCACTGCCCTTGACAACCCCTTTTTAAAAAATCTATATTCACCGCCCTTGACAAACCCTGTGTCTGTTGTCAAAGATGTGTTCTAATTTGAACAGCAGTTTCATAGTGGGTCAAAAAAAATTAGAGCAACTCCTAAGGTGAGACAAAGCGCTGCAGGCTTGAAATGAACTGGAGAACCTGCACACCTGCACATCTTGATATGTGTTTGCCTTACTCAGAGGCGTGCTTCTCACACTTGCATTAGCATCAGAATCACCTGGAGGGCTTGTTATTGACACGGATTCCTGAGACCCATCCCCAGGGTTTCTGATTCAGGAAGTCTGGAGTGGGGCCTGGGAGTCTGCGTGTCTCTCGTGTTCCCAAGTGTTGCTGAGGCCACTGGTCCAGGGACCATGCTGGGAGAATGGTTGCCTCAGAGAATTGTTTATACTTCTTGGTTCTAAGACGGAGACACTGTCATCCAAGTGCTCCTCCACACCCACACCTGCCAGACTGTCTAGCAACCTAACCCCTGGTATGTTCTTATGCTCAGTCTGGCTTCTTTCTCCCAGAGCCATCTCTGCAGGGCTTCAGACTTTGGGACTGTGTTGTGCGTGTCTTGCCATTTCTCCCAGATCACCAGACATTTGTATCCGGAATAAAGTGAACTACAGTAAGCATCGAAGGAAGTATTGTCACTATTCCCTCACCTCTTACTCTAATCTGCCTGTGACCCCACCACTCACCTGGCACTGCCCTCTCCAAGGACACCAACAACCTTTGGGTCACTAAGTTTAGGGGACAATTTTGGGCCTCTTCTAGCTTGACTCTTCAACAGCATTCAGCACTGTTGTGCATTTCTTTCTTCTGGAAAGCAGCATCCCTCTGACCCCCTTGGATTTTTCCTGCTTCTCTGGCTACTTCTCTATCCCTTTCTATATTGCAGGTCCTCAGAACTTGGTCCTAGCCCTTCTCTTCTCAATCTGCCTAGATAAACATCCTCATCCCTGACACCAGCTATCATCTTTTCATAAAGAATGTACAGTTCTGTATTTTCAGTCCCGAACTCTCTAAGGACCAGAACTTACATCCTGTTGCCTACTTAATATTTCTTCTTGGGTGTTTCAAAGGCACCTTAAATTCAAAATATTTGCAGCTGAATTCATGATCTTACAGGCTGATTGCCTAAGGAAGTTTGAGATCTGTTTATTTTTATTTTTTTAAAGTCAGGGCATCACTCTATCATCCAGGCTGGAGTGCTACACAGTCACAGCTCACTGCAGCCTCACACTCCCAGGGTTAAGCGATCCTCCAGCCTCAGCCTCATGAGTAGCTGGGACCACAGGCATGCACCATTACGTCTGGCTAATTTTTTACTTTTCATAGAGATGGGGTCTCACTGTGTTGCCCAAACTGGTCTTGAACTCCTGGGCTCAAGTGATCCTCCTGCCTTGGCCTCCCAAAGTGCTGAGATTACAGGTGTGAGACACTGTACTCAGCCATTGAGATCTGTGTTTTTAGAACCACATCCTGTTGTTTCCTTAAGAATTCTTATTTATTTATTGTTTTCTTCCCAGGGTCAGGATGCTATGTCCTAAAAATGATCTCTTTTGGCCCAGTGCGGTGGCTCACACCTGTAATCTTAGCGCTTTGGGAGGCCAAGGCCGGCAGATCACCTGAGGTCAGGAATTCAAGACTAGCCTGGCCAACATGGCAAAACCCCATCTCTACTAAAAATACAAAAGTTAGCCAGGCATGTTGGCATGTGCCTGTAGTCCCAGCTACTCCAGAGGCTGAGGCACGAGAATCACTTGAACCTGGGAGGCAGAGGTTGTAGTGAGCAGAGATCTTGCCACTGCACCCCAGCATGGGCAACAGAGTGAGACTGTTTAAAAAAAAAAAAATCCCTTCTTCAGCCTCTCCTTCAGCGTCTTAAGAGGAGAACCCAGTGGGAAGTTCCCTCATGTTTGGATTTATTTTCTTGTTTGGAATGGGGCATTCTAATTTTATCATACTTCTTGAGAGTGGTAAAGGCTAATTTAGAAAGGATATAGAAAGTCTTTGGAAACACCAATGTCACAATTGTCAGGGTTCATCTCTGTTGGGGTGAAGTTCTATTTCCCTTCATCTTTTTGAGGCTAAGGAGTCATTTACTTCCTGTGTTGGTCGTCTTTGCTTTTCTTGGTATGAGAAATTTTTATTTATTGATACGAGTCTGGAGGGGAAATGGAAGACGTAAGTCATAGTGTCCTCAGCATCCTTTCTTAATTTCTCAGTTCTCATTTCCACTTGGTGGCCTTTCGTTATAACTGCAACTTGGAATTCAGTCAACAGATTTTTATTTAGTTCCTATTATTCTAATGTGATGACAAGCAGAAGTTGGGCGATCCAGGGTGAGACCCTGGCACTGTGGTTTTCTTTTTTTTTTTTTTTTTTTTGAGACGGAGTCTCGCTCTGTGGCCCAGGCTGGAGTGCAGTGGCCGGATCTCAGCTCACTGCAAGCTCCGCCTCCCGGCTTCACGCCATTCTCCTGCCTCAGCCTCCCGAGTAGGTGGGACTACAGGCGCCCGCCACCTCGCCCGGCTAGTTTTTTGTATTTTTTTAGTAGAGACGGGGTTTCACCATGTTAGCCAGGATGGTCTCGATCTCCCGACCTCGTGATCCGCCCGTCTCGGCCTCCCAAAGTGCTGGGATTACAGGCTTGAGCCACCGCGCCCGGCCGGCACTGTGGTTTTCAAGGGGTCCTATCCAGTTCTAATATTCTTCAGGCCTGTTACTCAGAACCTACCTCTAAAGCTTTCTGTTTTTCAGAATACCTGGCCCTTCCAAGCTAAGGATTTTAACACAGCATAGTATGTTTAATGCGTGCCTAAAGTGTTTCTGTAGCTCACTGAGTAGTTCTAGACGTTTGCAAATGTTAGCTCAATATTCATTTTAACGTTTTCGTAGGTGTCTTCTTCCCTCTGTAACTTGTCAGTGAATACATTTCTCGAGGTAGAGACAGTATCTTTTCACGTCCCTTATATGCACTGCAAGGCCAAGTATGGTGTGGCCCAAGGTCAAACCTCAGCATAGGCTGGGTCTCCTAAAATTTTTTTTTGCCTTTCCTTTACTTGTTTTCTTTTTCTAAAAAAAATAAGTTTTATTTTCTTATTAAAATAATATATATATTTATCTTAAAAATTCAAACGAGACAACTAGCTGCAAAGAAGATAGTAAGCACTGGAATTTTCACTTCTCAGTGATTGTCTCCAGACAGTTTAATGCAATTAAACACATATATGTATAGTATATATGTATTTATTCATATACATAAATAGTATTATACCATGGCAGTGATCCGCAATTTCTGGGATGGGGCCAGATATGTTTTTATATTGTTTTTAAAATGAAGACGATCATTTTAAAATCATGCTAGTAGTTTGGTGTATATCTTTCCAGACCTTCCTCTGTGCATTTACAACTCTCTCTCTCTCTCTTTTTTTTTTTTGGGACGGAGTCTCGCTCTGTCACCAGGCTGGAGTGCAGTGGCGCGATCTCATCTCACTGCAACCTCTGCCTTCCGGGTTCATGCCATTCTCCTGCATCAGCCTCCTGAGTACCTGGGACTACAGGCGCCCATCACTATGCCTGGCTGATTTTTTGTATTTTTAGTAGAGACGGGGTTTCACCATGTTGGCCAGGATGGTCTCAATCATTTGACCTCGTGATCTGCCCACATTGGCCTCCCAAAAGTGCTGGGATTACAGGTGTGAGCCACCGTGCCCGGCCAACTCTCTCTCCTTTAATTGTAGATGCACATATATATATAGACATGAATGAGTTTTTATGCTGTTATACTATACATATCTCTCTATAGTTTGCTTTTTTACTTAACAATATATCGTAGACAACTTTTCATTTCAATTCATATAGATCTGCCTCATTCTTTTACATTTAAAAAATTTTGTTTCTAAAAAATGCAAATTTCCTCCAGAAAGGTTGCGCTGTTTTTTTTTTTTTCCCAATAATGATGTTTTGTTCCATGCTTGCCAATATCAAGAATTTTTGTGCTTTAAAAATTTTGCCCAATTGAAAGGTTTGCATTTTAAAGTTCTGCATTTTTTTTCCAATAGTTTTAAGACTGGGTATATTTCCAAATGTTTATTGGCCATTTAGCCACTCTTTTTTGAATTTCATGTTCTTTAACTGGTTTTTAAATACTGGAATATGTATTTTTCTTTTGATTTGTGGAAGCTCTTTGGATATAACTATTTGCTCTTTGTTATGAAAATTGCAAATATGTTTCCAGTTTGTCATATATCTTTTAACCTTCTTCAAGGTTGTTTTGATATCCACAAGTTTAAATTTTTTTCTTCGATCAATCTGACCATCTTTCAGTCTTTCTAGCTTTATCTGTCAGTCTTTTTAGCTTTAATGCCATGCTTTGATTTGTTTTCTTAGAACAAGAATTTATTCTTTTCTATTACAAAGGCAGGCCATGCTCCTTGAAAAGATCTTAAAAAATAAGGGGAAAAATCACAAATAATCTTTCTACCCAGAGATAACTATTGGTAACCAACATTTTGGCATATGACCTTTCTTATAAATGTTCAGGCTTATGAGACATTAGAGATAGAAGGAACCTTAGAGGTCATCTACAGAGAATGAAGAATCAGGTTTGAAATTGTGGTGGCATTGGTAATGTCTCCTAGGATGTAACCTTCATGAAATGGGATTTTGGCTGCTTTTCTCCCTAGTCCTGGGCACCCTAGGTTAGTAACAGTTAGCGGTAGGAGGCAAAGCCAAAGATTTTCTAGCTCTGACCTTGGTGGCCAGGGCAATGCTGGACGTATGGAGGGGTTCAATAAATGTTGGTGACCAAATGAAGTGATGTTGATTTTACCACTTACTCCAGTATTTTGTATATACATATTTATTTTGTATGATTTTATGTATTTTAATTCAGACATATGTAGACCTTGATTTTTTAAAATTCTTTTTTGCAGAAGTAGACAGTGTGGCACAATGTCACATTCAGCTTGCACAGAGTTTAAGAGAAGAGGCCAGGAAGATGGAAGAATTCAGGGAAAAGCAAAAACTACAACGGAAAAAGGTTGGATTTGCATATGTGTTAAGGTGTTTCCTTTGCTCCTGTAGAAAACTACAGGCTTGTTTGCTCGTTATACTCCTCAGCTCAGCTCCTACCATCATGCAATCATGACCTGAGACATTACTTATTGGAGTCCCCACGTGGGGACTCAATCCAGATGGGTATATGCATTTCTATACCCCAGGCCAGTTGTCCTTTTTTAAAGTTCATGTAGGATTCAGGGGTCCAGCTTGCATTCCTCTTCTTTTCAGGTCTACTGCCACTATTCAGACTATGAATGGAAAGGGGAAACCCTCTGACTTCAATAGAATCTAGCACATCCCAGCTGGAGGGCTCCCAAACCACACTCCTCATCCTGGACAAGGCAATAGGGGAAGGGAGAAGTAGTGGAAGAGTCCCGCTCCCCCTGAAGACCATGATGTAGTCCAACTACTCTCCTGTACAAATGGGAAAACGGAAGGCCTGGGAACTCCAAGTCCTTTTGTCTTCAAAGCAGCTTTACATAGGCTCTTTTTCATTTATGAGATTTACTCTAACCAACTACATGGAAGAAGACAAGGGTGAACAAGAGTTAACAAAACTGACAAATGTTTGGGATCAAGAAAAGAAGTCCAGGTTTATATCAAAGTGTTAGTTAGACTAGACCAGCCACAACTCTATTCTTTTCTATTTTGTTCCTGAAAAACTGGATATTCAGGCTGATCCTGCAGCCATGTAGGGTCCTCATAGAATTTTTTCCTGTGTCTAGTTTTCAAGACTGGAACCTGGGCCTCACATGGGAGACAAGCTCTCCTCTATCTGGCACCCAAAAATGTCTACCCAGGTCTCCCGGCACAGCTCTGCGTGACTTTTGGTGACCTCTTTCACCTTTCCTGGGGGTCCCTTTGAAAACCTTTTCTTATCCTGGGCCTGAGCTTGCTGTCTACAATGAGCATATCTGATAAATAGCCAGCTGTTAAGGCTGATTCTACCCTGACCTCAGTCTCAGCAACTTTGCCTGTGGCTGTAAGTTGGAGTCTAGGTCTAGCTTCCCTGGCGGCCACTGGCCTCTATTATGGGAGGCAGCATCCTGATAACCTGCCTGCCTTACCCCTATTGCTGTTTCACCAGCTGCCTTTAGCACACTACTGCCTCTTCCATCTCACACCTGTACTTGTGCTGTGCCTTTTACCAGGAAGGAAGGGTAGAAGTGAACGTGGAAACACTCTGTCAGGTGCTTTGACATATTCTCTCAAGCTTGATGTATCAGGTTTGAGGAGTGCTTCTGAAAAAAAGGCTCTGAAGCCTTTTTCAGAGAGAACTAGCATGTGTATTAAACCCATTGGATGGTCAGACCCTTTTGGCTGACATAGCCAGGACTGCTCACCCCTCTAGGGGAATTATAATTTTTCAGAATCAAAAATGCCTTAGACAACCAGAATCTGTGCACGCTTGATTTCCCCTCAGAGGAGAGGAGAATCATTTCCTTGCATGTTTTCAGTGCCCTTGGTAGCCCTAGTCCTTTCAGGGAGAGTTTTGTTAATTTTGCAAGGTTTCTGAAACTTCCTCATCCTAATAAGCTACACAGACCAAATTATTTTAAGCTAGACCTGAACTCTGCTGTGAACTATGTTAAGCAATTGTGTAAGTCACCTGTGCTCAGTCCCCTGCCACCCTCTAAGTTCCCTTTATTCTGTGTGCTCTCTACAGTGGGAAAATGCCTTCAGAGCTAGCTTTCTTTGAGAAGTCCAAATTTTATTAATAAAATTGTAATTACTTCTGTCAAAATGAACTCTGGGTTTTACCACTTCCGTATTTAGCTAGTTTTTTTTTTTTTTTTTTTTTTTTAACATAAAACTTTGGAGAAAATGTGCCAACGCTAACTTCTCATTTTTCACTGGTCGGACACACGCTTTGGTCTTTCACTTCTTGGAAATTAAGCCATTTCCACTTAAGGAAAGCCATCAGTTGGTTTCTTTCAGTAAATGAGAGCGCAGGAGGTGGAGGTCCTGGAAGGGCTGGCCAGAAGTTCGTGGTGTGCTCCCTCGCAGCTAATGTTTTATGAAGGTGGTGACCAAGACGTACACGGTCATCCTTCTCTCACTAAGCATGACAGCAGGGCCAGACAGGTGGATGTGACCCAGGAATCATGGTAAAGCCTGATATGCCTTACATGATGCAGGGAAGGAGGAAGACGCCATCTGAACACACAGTGGGAACACGTAATGTCATCTGGAGGCTTGGGAAGGCCTCCTGGAAGAAGGACATTGATGCTAAAACCACTGGGGTGAAAGGCTGTACAGAGGAGTGAGACACTCACCCCAGGGGGTTGGCAGGGTAGGAGCCATTCTCAGCCGTCTTGACACTTGAGGGTCATGAGGTTTCTCCCCCAGTCCATAACTGTCTGTAGCATGACAATGACAACACATGATCAGACACTCTGTCCTCTGGTGCCCACATGGTTTTATCCCCTCAGTTGAAATTGGGATGGTCATGGGAGAGTTTCGTGCTGCCTGTGTGGAGAGCCATCTCCAAAGAAAGGAACCTCTGTGGTTACAGAGGCGATGCTTCCAGTTTCTAGAATACAGCTTAAGGCTGAGCACGGTGGCTCATGACTGTAATCCCAGCACTTTGCCAAGGTGGGCGGATCACTTGAGGTCAGAAGTTTGAAACCAGCCTGGCCAACATGGCAAAACCCCGTGTCTACTAAAAATACGAAAATTAGCCAGATGTGGTGGCTCATGCCTGTAATCCCAGCTACTCGGGAAGCTGAGGCAGGAGAATCGCTTGAAACTGAGGTAGGGGGTGGGCAGAGATCATGCCACTGTACTCCAGCCTGGGCAACAGAGTGACACTCTGTCTCAAAAAACAAAAAATAAAAATGAAAAATAGAATACAGCTTGAGTGTGAGTAGAGAGAAAAATGGGCCATGAAGCAGCTATTCCAATAGTTTCTCTCAGGGTTATAGGGCCACTTGCATATCTCTTCTTCCTTTCCCCGCTCTTGCTTTTCCCCATCCTATGACAGAGTTTGTTGTGTTTTTGCATTCCTTTGTGTTGTCAGTAATAAAACCCAATCATATTTCCACTGGATTTGGTCTGAGCAGAAAGTCTGAGTCTCAGAAGAGACACTGAGGAGCTCTGAAAGGGCACCTTTGTCTTACTGGGGTCACCACAAATAAGTCACCCTATAAGTGAATATGGACGTAAGGACACGTAAATCCAGGTAGTGTAGCAGACAGAGCTGGACCTGATGTCTCTGACACTAACTCACGAGTGACCTTGAGCAAAGCATCTCACCTCTTCGGCTCCAGGGTCCATGCCTGTTAGGTTAGGGAGGTGGAGGGATGTTTTCTAGATTCCTGCCAAGTTTCAAAGGCCAGGAATCCATGAAGGCAGAGAGAGGAGTGATAGGAGGTGAACAGACTTGGCTGCTGGTGGAATGTTGCAGCCACCTGAGAGGTGTTTGAAGCAAGTGTTATGTAGAACTTACAGGTAAGGTGGCCTAGGTGGGGCCACAAAATATAATACAGTAGCAGCTCCCAACTGTAACAGTGGCCATATGTGTATTTAGACTAGAAAAGACCTTGGAACAGACCAGCGTTACTAACTGATCTGCTCTGTGTAGCCTGGGAAAATCGGTAAAGATTATGAAATAAATAAACCCAGCTTCTCCTCCTGGCAGAGGGACACAGTCATGCATGTGGACTGCAGGTTCCTGACTGCAGTGGCAGGGATCTGCCATGTGACTTTTCATGCCGGGCTCCTCTTGGAACCTTGTCTATTCTCTCTGTCTCTGCTGTCTTCGCCATTCGCAGGCGAATGGCCAGCACCTGGCAGCTGACTTTCACGTGGGCTGGAAGATGACTGCTGGATTCTCTGAGGGCTCATCTGAAGCTCCTCCAAGGGAATTTCATGTACTCCACAAAGCTCATATTTGAAGTGAGACCATTCCCAATATTCCATTCAGATATCTTCAAAATTCTTCAAACGATGTTTGTGTGTTATAGTAGCAGACAAAAACTTCAGTTTTGTGTGTCTGAAAGGAACTACATTTGGATTGTATTTTCAATATTATTTTGGCACAGTGTTAGTGTCATTGCTCATTTTGAATTATTGTGTCTTTTCGTTGTTTACAGCTTGGTTTTACAGAGCTATCATAAGGATAATGATAGTCTAGGGTAACAGTGAGAAACAAGGGCACTGGGGTCAGGGCTCTTGGGTTCAAATTTCAATTCTATTACTTGCTGACTGTGTTACTTTGGGGTATGTTAATTAACTTCAGTACCATCAGGAAAATGGGAGAGATAGTACTCACATAGCTGTGATGCATGAAAACTGCTTAGCATGTAAGTGCTTGATAAATGGAAGCTACTACGATTATGTCTGGGAGGTACATCTTTATTATTAACACCATTATTTTCGATAACAAGTATTAACAGCACAGCCACAATAAAAGATTTACTCCCAGCGAGGCATTTACCTCACTTGGATGGGGTATAAAAAGTAGCAGGGCTGGGCGCGATGGCTCACGCCTGTAATCCCAGCACTTTGGGAGGCCGAGCCGGGTGGATCACCTGAGGTCAGGAATTCGAGACCAGCCTGGCCAACATGGTGAAATCCCATCTCTACTAAAAATACAAAAATTAGCCGGGTGTGGTGGTGCAGGCCTGTAATCTGAGCTACTCTGGAGGCTGAGGCAGGAGAATTGCTTGAACCCAGGAGGCAGAGGTTGCAGTCAGATGAAATCATGCCACTGCACTCCAGCCTGGGTGACAGAGCAAGACTCTGTCTTAAAAAATAAAAAAATAAAAGAGTAACAGAACAGTTTCTTTTAGTTGTCTGACAAACTCTTTTTTCCTTCATACTGACCGGGCGCCCTGATGGTCATGGATGTGTCACTGATGGGCTGCAGAAGTGATACAAGTACCGAATTTAACTGTGCTGATGTATACTTAAAGAATAAAGACCTCCTTTAAAATATAAATGGCACTCTAAGAAAAGTTTTAAAATTCCTTTTTGAAACCAAAGTTCCTTGATTCCAGATTTTACCCAAGAGACTGCTCTGAGTTGATCAGTGACTCTCCACGGTGTCTGAGAGTTCAGGCTTTGGTGTTTGCCTGTACAAGTTCAAAGATGGGCCCCATTATTAGCTAGGAATAAGACCTTGGGCAAAATGTTTGGTCTCTCTTTTCTGAAGATTGTGAAATGTGGGTAATCATGTTGAACACTTAACCCTCCAGATAAACTGCTATTGATAATGATTTCTGTTTTTATTAATGATTTCTGTTTTTATTAATAGTGCTTATGATCTCTTCACAGACAGAGCTTGTAATGGATGCCGTCCATAAACAAAAGAGCTTACAATTCAAGAAAACCATGGATGTGAGTCACATTTTATTGTCTTTTTTGGGATAATGGTGACATTTTCTGAAATCCTGTGCTGTGTATGAACATATTCCTACTCAAATAACGTTTCAAAAATGTTATTATTTATTAGTGCAGTGTTTTAGGGAAAACAACCTTAAATGCTTTGGGTTTTCTTTTTTGTTGTTGTTGTACACATTATTACATCCAGAGATTAAGCTCAGTACCCAATAGTTATCTTTTCTGCTCCTCTCCCTCCTCTCACCCTCCCTCTCAGGTAGACCCCAGTGTCTGTTATTTCCTTCTTTATATTTAAAGTTCTTATCATTTAGCTCCCACTTATAAGTGAGAACATGTGGTATTTGGTTTTCTGTTCCTGCATTAGTTTGCTAAGGACAATAGCATCCGGTTCTATCCATGTTTCCTCAAAAGACATGATTTCATTCTTTTTTATGGTTGCATAGTATTACATGGTGTGTATGTACCACATATTCTTTATCCAATCTGTCATTGATGGGCATTTAGGTTGATTCCGTGTCTTTGCTATTATGAATCTTGCTGCAGTGAACATTCACGTGCATGTGTCTTTAGGGTAGAATGCTTTCTATTCCTCTGGGTATATACCGAGTAATGGGATTGCTGGGTCAAATGGTAGTTCTGCTTTTAGTTCTTTGAGGAATCTCCATACTGCTTTCCACAATGGTTGAACTAATTTATACTCCCACCAACAGTGTATATGTTTTTGTTTTTTTAAGGCCTTGGAAAGATTGAAAGTGACACTGATAGTGGAAATGCAACGGGGTTATCTTTCTGGTAACCCGAGAAAATATAGCAAGTCAGTTCAAATATTTTAGGCAAATATATAAAAACATATATAGTGTACAATACCTTTATCTTGTTGAATTTGCAATTTTACCCTGTTACTATTTTGAATCTTGATTGCTTACCTATTTTATTGAGTGATCCCTTTCTGTTTTAAGGTATCTGAAAATTATAAAAACCGGCCGGGCGCGGTGGCTCGAGCCTGTAATCCCAGCACTTTGGGAGGCCGAGAGGGGCGGATCACGAGGTCAGGAAATCGAGACCATCCTGGCTAACCCGGTAAAACCCCGTCTCTACTAAAAAATACAAAAAACTAGCCAGGCGAGGTGGCGGGCGCCTGTAGTCCCAGCTCCTCGGGAGGCTGAGGCAGGAGAATGGCGT